CACAGCTTCCTGAAATCAGATAAGTGTTAGTCTGTTGTGCAAAAAATTCAGTACCTTGTCTAACCATATAATAAAGACTTGCCCTTCAGTTAGGAAGCACAAGTGGGCTTTTCTCTAGCACAGAAACAGTAAGTTTGTAACTGTTGCAAGTGTCTGACTGCTGTTAGAAAGATGCTAAATAAGCCAAACTTTGAACATTATTCTAACTTGAACCATCAGCTTGTCACTCTAGAAAACCTTACTTATGTGTATCATGAATAAAAATCCCTTCCTTCTTCCTCTCTGTGTTCCAGGTAGTTTCAGCATCACAATCTAATTAGCAGTAATCTGTCTCAAGTAAATTACTTATTATCTTTATTCTTCTGTTTCTGCTTCTTAAGATGTCTGTATTATTTAACAAACTCCACTGGCACTGAGAACTTTCAATGCCATCTGAAATAAAACCCACTTTCAATCACTTCTTACTAGCCACAACCCAAAACCTACTTCTTGAACCTTCTGCCATCAATATCTTTTATTTTTTATAGGTTCCCACTTCTATATCTTTTCATTAACTAATACTTCATGTCACACCTCTAGTACTGTTCTCCACATCAGCCTTGAAAATGTTTAGTCTTCAGAACATCAATATTTTGATAAACATTCACTTAGACACAATTATTTGGAGAGAGCAAAAAGATCTAATGAATTCTTCTGCTTTAAAAGAACTATTAGAGGCAAACATTTGTTGTCAATAAAGAAGTAAAAAAAAACCCTGCATGCAATTTAAGATCTTACCCTGAAAACAAATGCTGTGCAATTGCCAGCTGGAAAGTCAGAAGAACTGAAATCAGAAGACTGCCCAGCTGGAGCTCTTGAAACATTCAGTGGAACTTCAGCAGCCTCTGTGGCTAAAGCAGCTGTACAGGCACAGTGTTCCTCAGTGGCACTGACTGAGTCAGCTGGAAACACTGGCTGCAAAGAAAAGGAGCATTTTAAGACCTTAGTTAGCTTACCTGTTTGGTTTATATTAAATAGCCTTTAACATAGCCTTTAAACAAGTAAATTATACTCCTAGAAGCTGCTGTTCATTAAAACTTCAGTTAGAACTTGTAACTAAGCCTCTCATACCTAGTATTTCTTAATTAATTTCTTAATGTTGATTGAAACTATTTCTTATGAGGCAGTTGTAACTTTGCTAAGAATGCTGAATATGCCACAAAAAAAAGGGCAATTTGCTTTTGCTGTAATAACTGACAGCAGATACAGCCCTAACTTCTGTTCAACAGCAATCAGGTTCACTGGAGAGGTTTCATCTGAGTATATTATATTTATCTAACACAGTGTTTTCAGAGTGACAGCTGACTTTTTAAAAGGCAGAAGAAAAGTCCTGTTGCTATGCTCATGATGATGTAAACAATCACACTTACGTGAGAGCTCATGAACAATGTAAATAATTATACAGCCAGGAATTACAGTTGAGAATATTTCTCAGAACTAGAAAAGATTCGTATTTTTAATCAGGAATCAAAATGGAAGGACAGGAATGGGTTGTTCCTGCTACAAATATCTTAAGTTGCAAAGCTATAAACTGGAGCTATAGGTAAGTGTGGAACAGGGAGCTGCAGCGTTTCATGCCAGGGAAGAGCTGAAAGTCACCACTGATACTGGATTTTGTGGGATTGTACAGAAAAGAAAACCTTGTATGTGTTAGAAGTTAAACTGTTCTGCAACAGTGCTGTGGAAACTGTGCTCTTCTGTGTTTATTGACAGCCTTACCTGATCTGGGTCAGCTGTTTCCACTTTCTCTTTATGGGTTTTATTATTGCCAGGTTTTGCCCAGAAATATCCCACCTCTCCCTCCAGTGTTTCTTTCAGTTTCTTCTTCAGTGCCACCTGTTCATCTTACAAAAAAACCAAACAAAACCTCTAGTAAGAGTTCCTAATACAAACATTGAGCAGTTAAAGAAAAAAGGCATCAATGCACGTCTGCCCTGTTATTTTGACTGTAAAATAGACTACAAGAGTTGTCACCACTGTCTGACCAAACATGACTTTGCTCTTAAGGGAATGGCAGCTGAGACTCTGCCCAGAGATGCAGAGGTGACTGGGGAGTCTCTCAAGAAGAAGAAAACACCTGTCATGGGTGTAATAAAAACTGATCAAAAATATATTCTATACATCATAAATACCTAATTCCTTCTTCCACTGGGTCTTTTTAAATTCCAGTAAGGCTTTCTCCCCTTCTCTTTCACCCAGGGTACTAAATATGTCAGCAGGTTTCCAGGAATCCTTTCTAGGAAAAAGGAGGGAGGAATAAAAGAATTTTACCTAAAAAGCTAATCTGTTAATTTCAAAGGTAACTTTTTAAAGTAGTATTTATAAACAATCTTAATGTTATTAAGAACCTTAATACAAGTCTTTACTGGAGACACAGTTTTTGTAGACAATAACACAAATCTACCTACATAACTTTCTGTCCTGGCTGTGGACGGGCTTCTTGTTTTCTGCTTGAATCAGAGTTGGTTTCATCTGGAACTGATGAAACTTCACAATCTTTTTGGAGTGATGCTACAACATTTTCCTCTGATGCCTCATTAGCAGCTGTGGATGACATAAATATATAAAAAAATAAAAATACTTATGGACAATAAACTTTCTTCAGCACTGAGAAAATATTTTGAGAAGAGCAGAAAATTGCAAATTCCACACTCTTTAACAAAAGTGTTTTCAGCCCTGCTTATAGAGTTAAGACACATAAATTAGAACTTCACAGGGTATTTTTAGAATGCCAGACTTTTAGTAAATGCTTATTCATGGCTAAAGGCTCAGACTTTGGGACTCTACTTAATTGCAGTGTCTTATTCTCAGTGGCAAAGAGCTGATCCTCTGCACAGACCCACCAACAGGAGTAGGGGTGCAATGCAGGGAGATACACAACAGTTCTTATGCTTCTGAATAGAAGTGGGGAGGGAAAAAACAGCTACTCAACAGCAATATTTGCAGTTAAGCAAAAAGATAAATGAACATCTTTGGGCCAGAGGAGAATGGCAGTACTGCTCTTGAGACACATTGCAAGACCTGAACTCCTCACAAACCAGAAGGGCCTGTCTCTTTGAGACAGTGATACATGTAAGTCTTTGTTTCCTACCCCAATGTAAAATGGTTCTTATTTTGTGTGAAATATTGCCAAAACTGCTTGCCGGTTTGCTCTCTCTACAGCATGCAAATGAATTACCAACTCGAACTTAAGCTTTCACATTTTGCTCTGTTTCTGTGAAATGAACTTGTTCAACAGTTGGTATCTTACCCATTTCCTCTTGCTTTTCATTATGAGTCTCAGAGATGCTTCTACTTCCTTCTTTAACAATCATCAAGATCTGCTGGAGCTGTTCTTGTGTTAAACACACCAAACTTGTCGAGTCTTCACCTGATACACATGGGGTTTGAGGTTTTGGTTTAGCTTTTTGCACAATATCAGGATCCCCTGAATCAGGATATCTGTTTGTGCCATCTCTTTGGAAAATCAAAGAGTGACTTTTAGTTGTGGCTTCGTGTGAGGAGTGTTTAGCAACTTGCAGTTTTTCACCTTTTGTCATTGATAAGCTTGATTCGGTCCTTGGCTTTGCTACATTTTCCTGCTTGATACAAGCATTTTGTGTTGACCTCAGGACATGCCCGGTGTGCCTTGTTCTCAATGCCTGTTTAGGTGCTCTGGCTTTATTCCCCATCTGTCAAACAAAAAGATTTCCCCATATATTAAATAAGGAAATAAAATTGTATTTGTAATGAATGAAAACAAGATGAAAGCAACAAGTAAAATAAGTGTCATTTTTCTTCCTTGCTGTACACTTGTAATTATTTCCTATGTCTTAGGGCCTTTTTCTGGTTTTTGTCCTTCCCATTGCACTCCAGTTCACTCTGAGACAACCTGTATGACCAAACTGGAACTTAAACACACTTCAGATCTAGATTTTACCAGAATTCCTTTGAGGTCTCTGAAAGTTCTGATTTATGTGATTCCCTGTGCTGCTTTAAATTCTTGGCCAAGTAAAATAAAGCATTTTGCAAAGGTAAAAATAGTCACAGAACTTTGAATTCATCCCTTTTGACAGCTATTATGAACCTGAGAAATCACAGAATATCTCAAGATAAAAAGGACCCATAAGTATAAATTTCTCTTTCACAAATATAATTGATTACAAGTACTTAGTTCAAATGAATTCTCAAATTTCTCTGTTAACAAGCTAAATAATCTATGTATTCTAAAAATTTTTCCACTTACCTTCATTGCAGACTTTGATTTGTCTTTTGGGAAACAAACACAAACATATGAAAGAAGTATTTAATGACAACTTCCTCCTGGAAAACAATCTTGAGATATTAGTAAACTGGTATATTCATCTGGGTTTTGTAGGTCAGAGAAAATACTTTGCCTGTAACATCTGCCCTGATTTTTTTACTTTTTTTTTTTAACATATTTCAGTAGACACAATTTAAAAGTATATTAGAAAAAAAATCAGATATATTCCAGTAACAATTTCTAGTTTTATACAGATCTAATAAAATTATTGTGCCAGTCTGACTCTCCCCTGCTATTCATTATTTCTCAGAGCCCTGTGGTAATGGCTTTATCTCTGGTTACATGATGTTTGTCTCCCTTGCTGAGATGCCATCCATTACTGCTCCCCACATCCATGCCCTGAAACACTCTTCAGTCTTTTAACCCAAATCCTAGAAGGTGCACAGAGGTGTAGTGGTCTCAAAAATAATAGTAAGTACCATTATTCAGTGTAATACTTATGAATAAAGAATATTATAATAGAGGGAAAGTGGTACTCGAGAAATCCTGCACATATAGCTAATGGAAAGGGAGAGAAAATAGTAGAGATACTGTTTTACTGGGACACATTTATTGGAAATAAGGCTCCTTCGGCTGCATAATGCACTTACTGCTCCGGCAGTGGATGCTGATCATTTTGCACTGGTAGCACCTATACCTTTTTTTAGCATTAAACAATTGAAGAAACTGGAAAACTGTTGTTAAAGTCTGCAAAACAGCACTCTTAATGACTTCCAACTGAGATGATCATTTTAAAATTTGGGAGTATGCTGAACTCTTGTCCTGCAGGGACAGGCACTAAATCCTGACCCACCTTGATAATGTTTGGGTAGTAAAGGTGTTCAGTGGCCATGCTCATCTCTGGGTTCTCAAGCATTCAACCCTCATCTGAGTAGGTAAAAGTCACTTTTTGACTTCTTTTTGGCTATTCAGAAATTAAATTAAGTGTGATTCTATGTGCTATTCAAACCCAACTTCTCTGTGGAAAGGAGAAACACAAATGGGGGTTTTTCCCATCATAGTGGGGAGATGCATAACGTGAGACTCCAAAGTGTGCTGCTTATGTGTTATTTTCTTTGATTTTTTTTTCTGTGTAAGAGAGAAGCATCTGTCTCCAGCAGCAGCTTAAGCTACTGCAGAATAATCCTGCTTTAGTCCCTAAGACTGTGAGCGGTGTCTGTCAGTGCAGAAAACCGAAATTCAGGACTAATACAATCTGATGCAATTTTTGACATCACTCTGCTCAGGGAAGTGCTGTTTATATCAGTGCATAAACAAGTTAATTTCTGGAGAAGGCTGCTTATTCAAGGCTAGTTCACAGTCCAAGGCAATGCTTTATCTTGGAGCACTCTGGAACATGCACTGGCCCTGTGCAGCCAATGCTGCTGCTGCTGGTTGTAAAGAGAAAGCTGCTGTTTCAGAGGTATTGCAGAGTTTATTACGAGTACACTGGTATTCCTTCCTGACTGAAAACACCACATAAAGCCTCATTAAACAGCTGTCTGGTAAATGCAGAAAATGAAATATAATTTAAAGGACATTAAATGGAGACTTTCTGTATTCTGAGTATGTAGAACAGCTTTGGAAAGTAGCTGGAAAGTAGCAAACATATGTCTGACAAATGACAAAAATAGAATTTATTAACATTTATCATGAACATATACTGGAAAAGTCTGTCTCAGACGGTAGTAATGAGATTTGGCCTAAATAAACTGCTTATTGAAAATTAAAAATGTCAACTGCCAAATACTGAAGCTGCTTGCAAGTAAAAGATGATTGTAATGATGTAATTCTTTGTAAATTAAGCAGAGAGTTATTAGGCCTCTTTTTCCCTGGTAAGTAATGTGATACAAAGTTTAAAAAATTATCCAAGTATGCAGTTGATACACAATAGCACCTTTATGAATAGAGTCAAGACTACTGGCCACCTGTTCACCAGTGGACAGACAATTCAGAATTCACTATCGACCTCCTGTTCAGAATCAAGGTCCTGAGTAAAAGGACTTGTCAATAATAATGCACAAACATTCTTCCTAATCTGAAAAATATTTCAATAAAGCTGTGCTTCCTGTTGCTTGGATCTTAGGTTTAACTTCAAGAAGCTTTAAAGATTACTTGAGATAAATGATTAAAAAAATACCAGAAGCAGCTAAAATTAGCCTAGGCTTTCCATCCAGCACTTCAGTTTCAAGCTTCAGTCCATCACTGCAAAATGAGAGAGAGAATGGAATTTGAAATATTAAGTAATCTGATAATGTTTACATTAATAACAAGGACAATTGTACTTAATTATAAGACAGTATTTACTGTTGGTCCAGATGCTCTTTCACATCCCAAGCTTTGTATGTTGGGAGAAGTTACTTAATACAAAAAAATCAATGTGTGTTGAAGTTTTTACTACTGATACTGAAAAAAATGGATTTGTACGTTGCAAGAAGGTGCCCCTCACATATATATATATATATAAATATATATAACTATAGTAATACAGAGCAATACGCCTGCCTCAAGAATTTCATCATCCTACAATATAAACTGTGTGCTACAAAAACGACTCAACAAGTCTCGCAGAATGCCAGCACTGACCACAAAGAGGGGCTGTGTTCTGGTAACAGCCCTTCATTGTGCTTCCATGCACAACAATCCACCGTTCCAAATGGAACAAGCTTTGTTAGAAAGGTTTATGAAAAGAGAAAAGCGTGGCAGTGCTTAGGCACAGTACACAGACACTGTTTTTCTTCCGTGCGGTGAGAAACCCTACTGTGAAGATCAGTGTTCAAAGTAACACGTATCTTCAAGCTTTCTTTCATTAAAAAAATAATAAAAATTAAACAATCCATCAAGAACGAAACTTTCTCGGGAGCCGGGAGCGGTGTGACCGGAGCCGCTCCCCCGCAGCCGAGCCCATCCCCGCTTTGTGCCGCACCCGGCGGGGCGCGGAGGGTGCGCGGCCCCCTCGCACCGCCGAACCGCGGTGTCCCCGAAGTCCCATCGCCCTCCACCGCTTCCCAGACCCCTTCCCGAGGCCGTGCCGTGGGACGGGCCGTCAGTCGCGCCTGTGCCGCTCCCGGTTCCCCGGCCACGCGGCAGCGCCACGCTGCGCTCCGCGGGGGCGAGCGGGGCTGGGACCGCCCGTGCCCGGGCAGCCGGGAGCGCCTCCCGGCCCAGCCCAGCCGTGCCCCGCTCCCTGTCCCTCCTTACCCCAGGTTCATGGCTGTGCCCGGCGGCCGCGGAGCCGCGCCGAGCTCCGCGCATCGCCCACCCCGTCTCCGTGAGCCGCGGCCGCGGCCCCGCTGAAGGAGCCGGGCGGCGATTGGGCTTCCCGAAGGCGGGATTTGCCAATGGGCTCCTGGAGCACTGCGGGGCGGCGGGGCCGGGAGCGCTGGGGGATGGAGTCCCGCACCCCTCCCGCGACGGGGAGCGCCGCGGGGATGGAGTTCCGCGCCCTCCTCCCGGGGGATACGGTCCAGCACATCCCTGGCTGCCGGGAGCCCCGGGGGATGGAGCCCCGCACAGCCCCCGCCGCGAGTCCCGAGGGATGATGTCCCGCACTCCCCCCGCCTCTGGCCCCGCCGGGGGTGCGCAGCAGTTGCCGGGAGATTAACCCCGAGCTCGGGCGGCTGCGGGAGCCCGAGCTGCCTCCGGAGCGTGGGAGGGCGGTGGCTGCTCGCTCGCCTTTTAGTGTGTTTATTCATTTATTTTCTGTGTGGCTTTGGAAAAGCGGACAAGCCAGGAGAGGGGCGCGAGGCTGAAGGTGGGGGACGGAACGGCGTCTGGAGCCGGGGGGGCTGCGGGAGCGGGATCCCGTCAGGAGAGGAGGGAGAGCCGGGACTGAGGAGGGAAGGGTCGGCCGGGACGGGCTGGCCCGGCGGGAGCGGAGGGCGTGGAATCCCCGGGAGCGAACCAGCGGGGCCGTCCCATCCCTCCCTCCTGCCGTTCCAGCGGGCGGTGGATCGGTGGGTCGTGTCCCGCTCGTGGGCTCTCCCGGACTTGCTTTACTCTGGTTTGCCGAAGTGGTTTCTGCATCACGGTCCTGCTGAACTTTGAGATCCGGCCCCTCGCCATCGCCGCTGGTTTGGTGGGTTTCCCAGACCGCGCTCCAGGTGCTGGTGGGTGTTCCTGAACCTCCTCTTGAGGAGCATTGTAGGAGCGGAATATTGAGCACTGTTGTTGTGTAGGTACAGCTTCTGGAATAATGGGATCTGTAAACGTGCAAATCAAATGAATCGACATTTTGCCTCACTTTTAGGAAAAAAATCTTGGACTTTTATCAGGAGGATTTGCTTATGTTCAAGAATATAGTCAGATTCGATGAAATGCTTCAGAGCCCATTTAGATATTTTACTATTCAAGATGGCATTTAAGCTTATGCTTAAAGACAAATGCTTACTGAAATCCTTGATTTCAAAGTAGGTTAAGACTTGTCTTGAATAGTGCTGCTTCTCGACGCGGTTAATTTTATCTGGATAAAGGTACCACACATCCAGGGGCAGATCCTCTGTGTTCTCCAGCTGTGCTTACTCCAATATACAGAGACAGAAGCGTTGCACTTTGGAGATTACAAAGAAAACAAATAAACAATAATAGAAAAATAGACAGTGAGGCTGAGTCTAACGTGTACACAGAGCCTCTGAACTGCTCTGTTTGTATTTCTATAAAATTAACATGTCAGTCATCAGACAAAATTAAAATTTCTGGGGGATTTTTTTACAAATATTGCTTCACAGCTTTTTGTTTGGTATTTATTGATTGATAGATGAGCTAAAAAGTCTTTGAAACATTCATTTAGGGACTAGAACAAGGGAGGAAAAGAAAAGAAAGCCAGGAATTTTTCTCAGTAATGCACTGCTCATGAAATCCTGTGAAGCACAGAACATACAAGATAAATTGCTGATAACTGCTGCCATTTTTGGCTGCCTTTTATCAGTGTCTCTAAGTCTCCCTGGGATGCCATCAACAATAACCTTTGAAGATTAATTTGTCTATCTGATACAGTGTAGGTTCATCATTAATTCCAGGAATTAAAATCTGTTGACAGTGATGCAAACCAAAAGAACACTTGCTTATCAAAGTGTTGAACAGTGCTTTCCCCCAACAATATTGAAATCTGATTCTTAAACATTAGGAAGGACATTGTTTAATTTGGATGAAATTTCAAACAAGCCCCATGTGTCTCCTTATCTATTGGCCAACAATAGCAATTTTTTTGGTATTCCATACAGCAGTTTTTTATTTTATATTATTACTCACTCCTTCCCAGAAATACTGTTTTAAGATATATCCCTTTAATGAATACTAATGCATTTTCTTTTTTAAAATGTTTTTGTGTCTGAAACAATCAGCTCTTCACTTTCATGGATTTCATATGCCTGATTTCAGCCCAGCTGTTACAAGGTAATAAGACCTGTGAGATTTCATCCCCTGCTTCACAACGGATTTCCCACATAAATAGATTTCCATTATACTTGCTGAACTTTAAATAATATAGCAAACAGACCTGGCTCCTAATTTTTGTCTGAGACAGCAGGTGGCAATATAATTTCAAGCATCTCTTCAAAACTTTGCCATAGAGAAAACCATCTTATAAGGACTATAAAAGAAGTTTTACAGTCCATTTAGACTTCTTTTGATTTTAATATTTTGTAAATCATCGGTGCTTTGCTAGGCAAGAGATAAGTTCTTCCAAAAAACTGACAGTAGTTGGTGAGTAGTTTCAGAACTTGGGAAAAAAACAGTTCTGCTGTGTTCTTTGTATATGAGTTATGGCCATCTGAAAAACCTCTTCTATGAATATGGAACTGGATGCTTCAAAACTGGCAAGTCTTTCAGGCCTTTGATAAAGTACTACACAAGGTAAAATTATTTGGGCAAATAAGCAGATTTTAACTAATGTAAAAGAATTTCCTACACTGTAAAAAAATTATTGATTCTGTTAATGCACACTTGGCTTTGTGTTCTCATGAAGGCCAGATAACTTCCTTTTTTACTTTCAAACTACCTTGGAAATATCGTGTGTCATTCCCACATCAAGAGGCAGAATTCTAAAAATATCCAAAGTCCCTTAACTGAGCTGCAGTTTCTCACAAACTAGCCATGAAATTAATTGCCTTCAACTGACATACATTTTTGAAATACATGACTATATAATTTACATATTAGCATCAGGCATTTGGCTATTTTGGACTCCAGGCTTTAGCCATGCATTCCAGACTCTTTGGGGTAATATATCTATTCATGTCAGTAGGCCTGATTGTATGGACTATATTCTAACTTGCCATGATTCCATACTATAATTAATTGTTTTATTTACTGATTCTTCTCTGCAAAATTTCATGGGAATATTAGAATCCAAAATAACAGGCACGATAGAAGTTGAAGTGAAATATATGAAGACATCTAAAGATTATGTTTCCTGTTACTGCTTGTCCAAAAATACTGCTTAAAGTGCTTATGCCTTTAGAAAGGAGTATAGAGGAGATAATACTTGTTTCTATAATGCAAGGGCTGTTGGAGTGCCTACAGGAAAAGCATTACCAGGCTCTATTTCATTTCCTGATAATCACCAGCATTCCTATGCCCTTGATTTATCAACCTGGAGGACTGAATGAAAATGCTTTCAGGCTACATGCATCTCTCATAAGGATCATGAAACACTATCAAGCACTTCAATCACTCGTTAATTAAAGTTTTTAACAATATAAGCAAGGTAAGAGGATGAGATTTCAGTGGGAGGTAGGTGTTTTGAAAGCCCCATCAGGTGTTTGTCTTCATCTCCAGACACACAAATGCCATTAATATCTTGTCATAAGTGACTTAAGAGAACAAGTCCTCTTGATTTTTCAATCACTTACACACTTGTGAAAACCCCACTCAGAATTGTTGGACTTGTTTTGCAGGGGAGTAAATGGATTGGCACAATGATTAAATTCAGCATTGTTGGTGATACTTTCTGAAAGCTGGAACAATGGATGTTTGGCCTGGGATTGGGTTTGTAAATGCATTTACAATACAAATGCAGCTGACAGGGTCCCCCAATAATACATTTCTTTGGGGCTTGCATATGGAATGTAGCCAGGTTTGTGTTTGGCATTGCTGCTGCATGGGTGAGTGTCTTTTAAATAGCTGAATATACTGCTAATGTGGTTTGAGTCCATTAACTTCTATTCTTTTTAACTTACTTTTGGAGAAAGGGTTCCCAAACCTTTTCAGAATAACATGACTTTCATAGAAAGTGTATCCTTTTACCCTACAGTGACAGAGAAATCATTATATATCCTCTTAATACTTGTATGTAGTTCCTCTGCCATCCCCAGTCATTGCAGATATAGTAAAGCAAACCAGGAGTGTTCTTAAGGTGTGTTTAATTTTTCTTAATGAAATTTAGTAGTTTGAGCCATAGGAAGCTCTGTGCACAGGTGAGCTAACAGCAAATGCCTGCCAAGTGCTCTACAGGTGAAGGCTGACATGGAGATCACTGCTGAAGAACAGGAGCTCCCAAACCTTCAAGGTGTCTTACCTGCAACCACACAAGTTCAGGCTTAGTTTTCAGGTCTTCTGAAGTTAAACTGGAAACCTAAACAGTTTTGTCCTTGCTTCCAAAACATTTTAGGTAATGTAAATGAAAGTTTTTGGACTTGTTTTCTTGATTGCTTCCTGCAAAAAGCAACACGATGAAAAGTAACTATCAGCTGAATGCAATCAAATGCCAGCATGAGATGGAGTTAATCTTTCGCTGGCACACTTGACGATTAATGAAATGAGCGTATGATCTGTGTGCCAAAGAAAGTCAGTGCTGAAATCAAACAAAATCTTTCTTTCAAGAAAATAATTTGCTTTTCGGTACTCCAACTGATACAGGAACTGCGTGTTCTGATTTTAAACCATTATTCCGAACAGGAGCTGTACGTGATGTCCATAAATTAGAGTCTATATCTGATATCATAGATTACTTCCTACTGAGAAGTTTTTAAACACTAGAATATTTCTAAAATATATTCCTCTGTGGCAGAGGAATTCAGTTCCTGAAACCTGCCTTTGTGGCCAAGAAATGGGCAGCCCATACATCTCATACTTTTGTTCTCAGTGGGGGGTATTGCACATTTCCTCCCTCTTTACTGGTGGATTTAAATGATAGTTATGCTTGAGGCTGAGTCCGTAGGTATTGTCTTTGTAAAACCTCTTAATGAGAAAGATTGGTACTTTTATATTCTGGTGTATACACAGTTTAGGCCAAGCATATGAAGAATGTAAAGAAAGTATGTTCTTACTGCATATGTGCTGGTGAACAACATCAAACTGAGAAGAAAAACTCAGGAGTAAACAACCCAAATTTCTGCCCATTGAAGCCTACAACAGCAAACTTTTCCTTTTATAACTTTCACCTCCATCAGTTTGAT